CTGTTCCCTGTGACTGCTTGTTCACGGTGCCGGGCCCTCCGCAGCCTGCGTCAGCGATAAGGGCGCGCTGTTCCCCGTGTCTGCTCGTTCACAGCGCCGGGCCCTCCAGACTGTGGGCGTCCGAGGCTCACAGCGCCGGGCCCTCCAGACTGTGGGCGTCCGAGGCTCACAGCGCCGAGCCCTCCAGACTGTGGGCATCCAAGGCTCACTGTGGTGTTTCCTTCCCCTGTCTCGGGTAGGCATGGCCTCTCGCACACAGAGGTGCTCAAAAATGCACACAGGAAAAAACAATCAAAGGCCAGGTGGACAAAGAACAGTGGCTGGACTCTCCCAGAGCAGCTGGTGGGGGCCTCACCGCCCATCAGCCCACAGCCCTGGGCTCTGAAGTCCTCCACTGATGCCAGCCCCCAACCCCACTGGCCTCTTTAGCCCTAAAACGTGGAAGAAGTCACAGACACTGTTCCGTGGGGGCACCTGGCATCGGGGAAGGCAGAGTCACTGCAGACGACGTCCTGCCCCTGGATAACACCCTGCACTGGCGGCTGCAGGGCTGGGGCTTCGCCGCAGGCCCACGGAGGTCCTGGGACGCTGCCCCCCTCTCTCTCCCATGCCCCTCCCTGCCACAGGGAGAGGCCAGATGTCCCGCCCAGCAGCAGCGTCCACGTGAATCGAGCGATTCCTCCCAAAACAAAGTGTCCCACTGTCTAAGTTGAAACATGGAAGGGAGGTCTCTCTCGGTCCCCGAGGCTGTGGGGTGTGTGGACTCGGGCCTGCCCAGGTGCGTCCAGAAGAGGCCTCTGGGGCAGCCGAATCAGAGGCTCTCCTGAGCCGTCAAGCTCCGGGACCGGTGAAGCCGCCACCAAGATGGGCTGCCGGCCCAGGAGCTACGTCCAGCCTGGCTTTCCCATCGGTTCACGTCACCCCAAAACAGACAGTGCCTCTGCTGCCCCAGGAGCAGCTGTGCTGGCAGGTTCTCTGCCGACAGAGGAGTCCGAGCTGCTGAAACTTGATGCTATCTCAAAATCTCTAAGCGCAGATTCCAAAAAGGCCTAACTGCGGCAAACGTTGAAGCTGCTCAATGGAACGGTGGGAAAATACAAAAGCAAGGACTTCAGACCAAAAATAAATGCGCAAACGAACAAACAAACGGCTGGGGGGTGGGTGCGAATTCCACCACTGTAACCCATCACGCTCTCTCCTCCTGCCGCTCCCACTGGCCTTCC